CAGTGAAGAAAACAAATTGAAAAAAAAGGGAGCCAAGGCGCAATAATATTATTTGACGGAGTGCAAGCGTTACCTCCGATTCCAAGCGACAAGTCAGACGTTTGGAGTTATTTTTTGAATGAGGTTGAATGTTTTCAACTGCCAGGCTGATGCATGCACACTGTTTGCATCCAAGCGAGTGCCAAATTACGGATACGTGCTGCCATTCCATTTCAGCAGTGTCATGTGGAAGTTCGATCCTGGATGGGTTGGTGGTACAGCTCCCGACTGCGGTCCTCTGAACATGAGACTAGATTCTTGGGCACAAACTAGATTCCCGACGGCGCGTAACATTTTGCTTTGAAGTCTCAGTTTCTGCCAACAAAAACCGTCTAAGATCATAGCCGCCGTGTGAGGTTCCGCCGACCAAACAATGTCCCAGAGGAAGGTGCCCAAAGCTGCAGATGAAACCTATCATCCGGAATGCCTTCGGAACAATTCGTTGCTTCTTTTGAAAGACACAGAGGTAGAGAGAGAATAACCGCCTACTAGTTTATCTTGAACTTGGCCAGAGAGTGAGAGAGAGTCGGAAAGGATCACAAATTATTGTGTTGTCGGGTCTTAGTCTTCTTCTTGCAGTTCCCACCGCGGCCCAGGTTGCTTCAGCAGTACGCATCACGCTACGACGACACACTTATCCGTTAGGGGGTGTCAGGAGCCAGCTTTCATCTTGCCTGCCGTTTCAATACTATACAGGATTACTACAATAGTTTTTAGTATCGCGCATTTTTTCCGAGTGATTCCATGTGATTCAGGACCTGGCAACTCAAGTATGGCATTGGGACTATTTCCAGACGTCATGTAAGCAGCAGGGGGTCAAACCTGGCCGGTTCGTCTCGCCAATTGTTGGTGAGTTTCTGAGTGGACCTGCTCTTATTATTTCACCTGCTGTCAAGCAAGATGACATGCCAATGATTCAACTGACAAATGTAGCTGAGGATTGCCGCAAAATTGGACCCAAGATTCTGCTGACGCAGTCTCCGTAGAAGATTTCCTGCGGCTATTCCCCCACTTCAAGGTGTGAATTGTTATATTGAGTTAGTTCGTCAATCCCAAAATATTTCGCAGTGTAATCGTATTTCAACTTCGGCAGGCGGGCTTGGCAACTTCGAGGAAAAAGGTGATTTCGTTGTTCAGTGGTGTTGGCGGCCTTGATCTTGGCCTTTCAGAGTACGCGACTTAATACATCCACTGCTTCAAGCTCCAAGTCTGTCAAGATCATTTTCTTTGCGTGGCATCCAAGTTCAGGATGATTGTCCAAATTCAGTTCACAAATTATTTCAGTTGACTATGAGGTATTGTGAGAGCATTTGCTACGTTGGGCACTTAGTCACCTTCAAGCCTTTCCCGTTTCGACCATCCATGAGGGAGCCATGCGCGGAAGGTTTTGTTATACTTGAAATTTTGGTAACGGTTGTTGTTTCATGAGACAATTGAAGCAGGGTTGGTTTTAGGTGGAAGCAGACGAGCGTTGCCAGCAGATCCTTCAGCGACGAATGGACGATGGCTTCTTGGGACGTGGGCCAATCGTTCCAGACATTGTTGGCTTTCAGCCATCGCCAGAAATTTCGAGCAGCGCGTCTGGCATCATTGGTGGTTTCCCGTGCCAGGTTGGTTTCAAACTTTGCTAAGACAATCATCGTTCGACGCGTTTTGTGACTTACTAACACATTCACTTGACACTTCAGACCTGCCTTTGAAGTCACATTAGGTTTCACGTTGTGCCTGCCTCAGGGAATCTGTGGAGCTGGGAAGCGTAAAGGACTGAAAGATCCTCGCAGTGGCCTTGTGCGGGAAGTTTTTGCCACACTGGATTGCTGCCCTAACGTGTAACTCAATACGCAGCCTGTGAACTTAGAAGCCACAGGTTCTTGAACTAAATTGTTGAGGAATTCTCACGCTCAATACTTTTTGACATAAAGTTTCATGATTGTTGATTAGGTATTTTAGCATTCTGGAGAATGTGTCCAACCTGATGAGCTCACAGATGCGTCCAGTCTGGACATTCGCGGTGGAGGAGCTCAATCGCCAGTCAGTACTTATCATTTTGGTGGGTTTCAATACTAAGCTTCTAAACCCTGATTCTTTAGCGCTTTCAAGTTCAGATTTGACATCGCGAGCACCAAAAGTCAGCAAAATGCAGGAGTTTACCCGCCGGGGATTCGCTGTGTATTGGTGTACAGCTAGTGGCAAGGATTGCGGGCTTCATGTTCAGAGCTCATTGAATTCGTTTGTTGTTTTGATTTTCTTGATCCTGGGCTGGTGGTTTGCTTCATTTGCTCAGGTCAATCGGAAGCGCATTTTCATGTTTGCGGTCCTGCCCAGCCGCGTTCGCGATTTCTTTCAGGCCAGCTTGCAAGCCAGTTATGGTAGATAATCAAAGAATAGCTTGACATAATAACCCATGCTGCTTTGACTGAACAGACAATTGAAGCCTGAATGTGTCAGGATGTAAAGCTCCTGAGCGCAGAGGATCATGAGAGGCAGGCAAACATGTGCTTCCACTTCCGTCAGCCACCGTCGATTGTCTCGTGGCTGACCCTGAGTCAGTCAAAGGATGACAGGCAACGATTGCAGGAATTGGGCAACCTGGTGATACCTTGCTGCGCTGCATATGCCCTGAATGTAATTGGCAGGTCCATCTTAGGCAAGCTGTGATGGTGAGTTGGTCTCATGTCTTCTCAGAAGTTACTTAGTATACACACATTGCAGATTTTTCCTTGCTGCCTCCTGCCAAGTAGCCCCGCTCTTTATTATTGAAATTAAGAAAGGAGCTGTTTTTTGAGACAGTTCCACACAGAATGATTGCACCAGTCTGTAGCTAGATCAGATTTAATTAGATAGCTGCCCATGGACTTCGACGCCAGCAGTGTGAGCCCGGCTTGCTTGTTGTCATCGAAAGTGCATTGTAAGGCTTATAACTTATGGCCACGCTGAATTAATGAGTTGGGGCGCGATATTTTCGGGGCACGATAGCTTTGGATGTGATGATGCCTGCGTTTCTTTGCTCGAGGAACCAGCAGCTTGTTGTGTTGGTTCATGAGTCTCTCCAGCAGTCAGTCTGGTTCACGCCATGCCCTCATTATTTCTGCCTCAGAGTCGGCGGTACGTTAGTTGCGGTGGATCGAAAGCTTCATGGTGGGGGCTAAGCTATGGTGGCTGTCCATTTGCTGGGCATTCTGGTTTCTTGTGGGAGGATTCCCAAGGAGCCGATGATGACTCTGACTGGCGCTTAGATGACAACACGGGCGTGATAATCATTGACCAGGACAATGATTCAGACGGCAAGCGTCCCAAGTCCTTTGACGCTTAGTCTGACTGTTTTTTGGAGTTCTGTGGTACTGTAGCGGGGGTATTATCAGAGAAGATAATATTTGCCAACGCAGCTTCTTGATCGAAGGAACACCCTGAGCCTCATCCTGCAGATCCATCACGCCAAGATGCCATGACTCAAGCGCATCCCATTCTGAAGGCGATGCTTTCGTTTGTCGTTTATCCTTGTGAAATTCAACGTCCTTTTTCAGGTTGAAGGCTGTGCGACTCAAGTTGGACCTGCCGAAGCTTCAGCAGAGGCCCAACTTGAAATTTTGCGGTGGACCCTTGCCTTGCCATCCCGCAACGATTGAGTACTAGTTTCAGGCGGCAGCTGAGTCTTCAAGTTCTGCTTCTGCAGGACTATTTAATTTGTCACACAGTGAAAAGCAACTACCTTCCAGTTTAGTTTCTGTGGCAGGAGACTGCCTGCGATCAAGGAAACGGCCCCGGATATCACCAGGCTAAATGCCATTGCCTGATGTTTCATGTTGTTTCTGTTTTTAAATGTTTCTGAAACAGAGCTGGAATATTTTTGATATGGCATTGAATCTAGCTGCGCTGAGATATTGACATGGCGATTGAAATTCATCGAGATGATTGATGCAAGTGAAGTGAATTGAACTTGTTGCCACGATGTTCTGGCAGGCGTTAAGCCTGCAGGTAGCAATGTGCTGCCAAATGAGCCTGAGCCGGTCCAGGTCTCAACATCAGCTGCTTTGCGCAGATTAAAGAGCACATCCCAGCTCATTTAAGATGAGACAGGACACATAATTCGATATCCATGTGTTTAGGACTTAGATTCAGATGTCCATGTGCTTGGATTTATTCAGCTGTATACTAATTCAGACCGTTGCTGTTTCAACGTTGCTCCTCAGAGTCAATTCAGCTCACCAACTTGTTTCGCAGAAGGTCAAAAGTCGTGTGATTTCCCGCAGTTGAAATCAGAGTTGCAGCCATGAAATTGTTTCTTTTTTTTGTCAGTGCTGCATTCTGTCATGTGCCTGCAGAATTTCACTTCATCACTTTTGTATTTTTAGAAGGCTGCTGCCTGAATGGATTGCCGCTTATAGATATTTATAGTGCCTACTCCTGGCAGCCACAACAGATCCTGCTGTTGATGCCCTTCCATCAAGTTGAGGATCTTTCTGATGACGATAACACGCCAGTAAAAGTTGAGGTGGCTTGTAAGTTGGAGCAGAATCATCCTGTGCCACCCGCGCTGCAGCCAGCCAGAGGGGCAGCCAAGTTGAAAGCTCAGCGGTTGCAGGTCCAGCGACCTGGAGAACTTAGGGGCGTGCTTGGCAGGTTGGTTCAGCAGGTTTGCAAGTGTGCTACATCAAAACATGGGCGTGCGTCGCATCATGGCCGTCAATGCCTTCGGCAGTTTCGAGATCATGTCCAGCCCTTGTTCCAATTGCGTGTGAGACTGGGTCAACTGAGCAAGCAGGATATGGACAATGAGGCCCTCGATTTTTCAGTCATAGCACGGCAACTAGTCCATCACGTTAACCCCCCAGAGATTCTGCGCGCGATTCATTTGGTAGGACATGTCATGATGTGTCATGACATGATAAGAGAACTGTATAGTAGTGTACTTATTATGTGAGAGATAATAATATTGTCGGCAGTGGCAGGTGGTTTCCGTGATGAAGCTGTCAATCTCATCATCCCGTTCCGCTGCTGATGTTTGTGGTCCTCCGCGGCATGCGTTGTTTGGTCGCACAATTTGCCAACGAGCTTTCAAAAAGCTCCTGGGCTTGGGAAGTACGAGGTACACAAAATTGAGACGCGCTGCCTTAAGCAATCTCTGTGCGCCAATAGATGGCCGGACTCTCCCTCGACAGTTTCTGCTGAAGACGAAGACAGACTCCTTGAGAAAAAGAGCTCTTGTGACAGAGTTTTTGGAGTGGCTGTACAACGCAGTGAGTGAACCGATTCCTGAAGCCAAAGGGGATTTGGTGAACAAGCGCAAGGCGCATGATGAAGAACAAGAACCAGCGTCGGCAGTGATGAAGTTTCGCCGTTTCCGTGGCAGGAGGCCAAAGCTGGCAAGAATAGTGAACCGTGCATGCAAGGATCCATCACGCCTGAGGATGTTGCCACCTGGATCCTACACGGACTACTTGAACATGCTCCGTGCCAGGCATCCCCCTGAACGCATCTCCCTCAAGCTGTTTTCAGCTGTTCCTTGAAAACATCGTTTTGTTTCGTGATACGGCCCCCAAGTCCTCCACATCAACCAAAAGCCAAAGCTTTGGAAGGGGCGCACAGTGAGTGCGTGGTATTTTTCGGCTTACAATGACTGAGCCAGTCTCAGGTTTGGGGCCGTTGCTTTGGTGATCGGTTGAGCATAAGGGAGCCTTCGCGACACGCCCAGTGCGGGGTGTGCACCCGGCACAAGCTGATAATCAGCAAACTGGGCAATGACAGGGCTGCCCGGGATTCCCAGATGCGGGAATTTGTTGCCCACTTGCAGCGGCAGTACCGGGACAGGACCCACTATTGGGCTGCGCGTTCAGCCAGCTGCCTACCAATGGCGCCAAGCGGGAAGAGAACTGTATGCTTCGTGACCGATGCTATTGATCATGCCAAATTTCGATTTCCCAGGTCCAGGATATTCCGGTCGAAAGACCTAAGCAACTACGTTCGTCCCTGCATGGACATGAGTGCGGTCCTGGGACACGGCAGTTTGGTCCACCTCTACCTTTCTGAACCTTATGTCCGAAAGGACAGCAGTTGGTGTTGCGAGATCCTGAGCCATGCGGTGCACTGCTTGCCATTTGACACCAGGGGCTGTGAACTGATAGTCCAATCGGACAATTGCTCGAGGGAGACGAAGAACAACAGCCTATGTAGGTGGAGCGCATGCCTGGTCGGACTTCACACAGTCTCGCGGCTAGAACTTAGGTTCTTAGCCACGGGGCACTCCCACGAGGATGTAGACCAATTTTTTTCGATGGTCGCTTCAATGCTCGAGCGGTCCCCAGAGTTGCACCCGCCACAGCAGTTTGTCACGACCTTGGAGGGTTGGTTGCAGGACAAGTCGGTGAGAGAGCATGATCCACTGCGCTCTGTGATGAAGGTGGACCAGGTAAGGGACTGGAGTCATGGTAAGAAGTCGCAAGTGTCGTTTTCCTGCCCTCCGTTTTATTAAGAATGCAATGCCATTGCTTAATGATGTTGGTTTTAATGAATTTTGATGCATTGTGCATTATTCTTCTTGTTGGCTGAGGAAAACCTTTTTGCATTACGGCTGTCACTCCAATCACCTTGCTGGAATCACTGGCCCAGCAGCGCCTCATGTGTTCGCTTTTGACAGACGATCAGAGTTGCCAGGCGCTGTTCATGCTTTTGTGGCGTATTATTTAACTGTCTGAGCCATGCCTGCTGTCAGATGAGACTCAGCAGCAGATCAAGAATACCTTCTGGACCAACTATGCCCCACACGATGATGATGTGATACTCCGGACCTGACTGATGGGTGCTGGTGAAGTTTTTGAACTCATGTTAAAGTTCAGGAGACTAGTGTGTTTTATGCGCTAGATTCAATACCTTTGTATATTTCCAGCCATTGAGACGAAATTTCTGTGTTCCTGCGACTTTGTTTGATCAGACGCTTCATGTGTGACGATTCGTTGGATTCATCGATGTTTTCGCTCTCGACTAGTGGTGTCATGTAGTAGGTTCTGCCCTTGTCCTTGACATAATGTTAAATTAGCACGCCAGTAGGCTCAAAGAACCGCACTGAATTGATAATTAAGTTCATTGGCTCCAACAAGTACCCAGTGATTTTGTTCTGTTCCCCTGCAGTGTGATCTGTGATTGTGTGGGTTAGCACTGGGAGTTTGATAGTGGTAGACTTTGAGACGACACTTATTATTATGTTCCTTGATCAGATCGGAACTCGGAATGCTTGGCCCGGATTCAGCTGGCAGGACTCGAGTCTTCATGTCGGATCCCTCCTAGCATCAAGAACCTTTGCTGTACTTGCCTGCCAAAGTTGTGCACGAGCTGGCATATTCAGGAGCTGTTCCGATAGGCAAGCAGACTCTTACCTTCGCTTGTCAAGAACATAATGCAATGTGTTTTCTTGAACCAAGACATTGAATTGTCCAATTGCTGTGCCAGTTGCCAACGAAGACCGTCCACGCGACCACAAGACAGAGGACAGTTGGGCGAAGCTTGCTCAAGTCATCCGTACCTTGTCCAAACCGGTGTCAACTTATTAAGTCGGTACTAGTAGCATGAAATAGTGACATGATACCGACTTCCACAGTAGCCCTTTAACTGTCAGCAGGTCAGGATCCATATGATATGATCGCAGCTGCTGACCATCTGGAGAAGTTAGCCAGTGGAGATTTCGAACGGGGTCCATTGCTCGATGTCAGCAGGCGGGATTCATCTTTCACCAGTCAGTGTATCCCAGGGCCTCAGGGTTCAGTTGCCAAACCATGGGTAAGACTTGATTCTTGATATTTGTTGGGCAGGTGTTTGCCTGCCCCGGGGGCTGCAGTGGGACCAGGGCCATCTGGTGCTGCCGTGATTGGTGGACGATGCCTGGAAAGAGAGACTTGGTGTATAGACGTATCGCAAGAGGTTTTGGATGCAAGGAATGATGACAGGGTCCCATTTTGCCTTCGCGGCTACATTCTTGCTCACGCCAAGGATGCCAATCTGGTGAGAGTGAGGCACGAGCCTTTGAGCCGGAAGCATTTGAACAGGTATGTGAGCCAAACTCGAGACGTTCATATTTACCGAGCTGCTGCAAAGCTATGGGGAGCTGGGGTCAATTGGACCGAAGCGCTTTCCATCGCAACCGATGCGTTTGAAGCTGGAGATTAGTGATTAGTGTATATTAGTGTTGATTACTAAATTGATGTGGTCGTGTTTTTGCTGCATGGTTTTTTGATGTTACCAGGCATGGAATTTAATTGACACCCAAATAGAATATTGGATATCAAGGTAGTGTTTGAGGGGAGGCTGCTCTCCAAGCCGCATTGGTGTGTGAATGGAGGCCGACATCAGGCATCTGAGTTCTTAGGGAGTGTTTGCTGGCTAATTTCTGAACATTTGCAAGCGCTGAGAGGACACGTCGTTATGTGACTGTGGAGCTGCTCCGCAAGCAAAACAACATGTGCTGGGGATAGATACTTGTTGTGTTGAAGGTGTTGGACACCTTGAATTTGGTTGTCGTGCTAATGTTGGCATGCGTTCAGTGCTTGGGGGCCTGGCTGGCAAGCACAACACATCTGGCTGTGAAATGCACGGCCTTTGTGATGAATCTCGCCTGTGGAAATCCGAAAACGGTCCAAAAATTTGGGTGCGGCATGGTATTTTACGAGCCTGGTCTCTGAGGTGAGTTTGATGTTTGGTAACGGAGTGCTATCTATTGACGTTTTTCCAGTTTGTGCTTGGAGAGGGTGGCAGCAAGCAGAAAACCAAGTGACCACAGGTCTGCACGTCACAAACTACCTGTCACAACCAGGGAGACGTCAGAATTCACAATCCTGTGATCTTGAGCCGTCACATTTCTTCAACCAGGGAACACTGCATACTATTACTATTATTATTCAACGAATCCCTGCTGGTCTTGTTGTGTTTTTTGACGGCTGCGGATGCCAGCAAGCAGAAAATTTGTAGTGTCAGCAGCAGTTGAACTTTTTCTGACGGATCGGAAGTTCTGAAACATATTTTCTGACGGACTACATGGTGAGCAACCCAATTTCTGACGGCATTGTAATTTTTTCAGCCCTCCCCTTTTTGCCAGGTCTGATTTGGACCTGCTTGGCCTTTGGGAGGTCCGTCCGCTTCTGGGTCACTGCTTGTCACGTTCACCACGTGGCTGAACTGGTTTGAGAATGTCTAGCTTAACTTGCCGATGGGCCTTTCACGATTATTGCGTAAATGTTCAGTGAGTTTGCAAGCCTCTTTCACTGCAGGACGTGTCATGAGATTTTGGCTTCACGGGCGGGGGTTCGTAACATCAGCATGTCGAAGCGCAAAGGCTCTACAGGTGGTGAGGCGAGGTCGCAGAAGGCGGTTAAGGTGAAGGAGGAACAGCAGTCATGCTTTGATCCGCATTACATAAAACTGTATCAACAGTGGTGGCTACTTTGATAGCAATTTGGTTCAGTGTGACTGTGTTCACTATTGATCCTTAGCCCTCTCTAAGTTGATCTCACAGAAACTTACCCAATCAGGTCGAAAGCTGTGAATGAATGTGGCTCCATCGATCGGTACTTCAACACGAAGTTGGACACAAAGGAAACGTAGCGTGTGTTCGTAAAATGCCTGGCGCCTGTCATTTGTGCCTCCATGACCTTGGCAGGAGACGATCGCCAAATTCTTGCGCTGGCAGGAAGATACATTTATGCGCGTTCCAGATTTGTCCGCGCCTGAACTGGAGTGCACCAATTACTGCTGGAGTGAACCTACTAGATCGGACTCCTAGAGCTACTATGTATCATTGAGAATAGGTTTCAAACGAAAATAACTTAGGTTAACGTAACACAGCTCATGAGCCTTAGGCACTATGGGACACCGAAATCATTGGATGTTCAAGGATACGCCTGCCTTCGCACCTGGAATTTGCCGTGGTCTCCAAACTGCGGACTAAAGGGTGTTGTGGAGCCCGCCCTTTGCGTGTTGATGAACAATTTTTTGGTGACGCAAGAGTAGCATCGAGTAACTGTTGTTTATTAACCATTATGTTTGTAACATCAACATCATGTGATCATTGCCGTCTTACCTTCCAGTCGTCGAGGACGTTCTACAGCAATTGTCGGAGCTGATTGCGCTTGACGGGATGAAGACCAACAGCAACGACATAGGGGTCAAACGCTTGGTCATTAGTAAGCTTCGGCCAAGCCTTGGATGCGTACCCGACATCATAGTACAACACGCAGACATGGACCTCGAACCTGCCATGCTTGGGGCACACAGTGTTTTCATGGTGAAGGGATACACCAGGGTACTGAGCATGCACCTTGTCCTGCTGTGCGCCTGGGAAGTACCGGAATTTCTGAAGGCTGGCTGAGATGGGTCTCTGGGCAGTTTATGAAACATAATGTTCGTGAACACAGGGTTCATGGATGTGCATGGTATGTTGGATCCAGTGACTTACTTGGCGGTTGCGGATGTGGGTTCTTGACGTGACAGGGACTTCCAGAAGTTACGAGAGAGCCGCCTGGCGTGCGAGATGACTGTCGTGCGATTGAAATTGATGGCGAAACATGAGCCATCTTTTTAGTTACGACATCAGGAGCCTGGGGGCTGTCCACTGCAATGTGATACTCATCGATGATGACGAAGCAGCTGGCGACTTCGTCATACAGAATCGCTCAGTCACGTTCGCATCTGCGTTGCGAAGAAAGCCAAACGCTTTCAATTTGTTGCATCAGATGAAGCTGATGGCACGCACGCCAAACTGTCGTGGTACGGAGGCCAGCCTGTGGTTTGAAAACATGCAACCTGTCATGACAGTGTCCCGCAAGTGCCCCAAATAGGATGAACCAGTTGTGCCAATCAATTTGTTCATTGGTGCTTCGTGGCAGGTCTGGGAGAAGGCTTCCTCGATCGCGGAGGCCTACAAGATAGGCCGTTCAGAGTCGACCGCCGCTCATAACTTGCTGAACAACGTTGATCCTGCCATTGTGAGCTGGTTGACATCTTTGGTGCAGTGACTCATCTGACAAAAAGTAATAATGATTGGCCAGTTGGATTTGATGACACACAGAACGTGACTATAGATGATGTGCGTTTGAGGCGATGGACTCTCAACAAGTTCTTGACCCACGATGCGATTGCTCAGGGCGCTTTCAACCGCGAGACATGCACGGCTACTTCTTGCATGACTGCCTGGCAGGCCCAGTTGCTGAATACTTTGGAGGTTGTTGAGTTACTGTGCAATCGGATGGATTCGGATTTCTCCAGCACTGGACTCAAGTTTCGGAAGCCGTACACTTTCAACCAGGTGGAGTCTTCGTTGCATTTATATAGCAGTGACAGCTACCGCCTAAAGTCTTGTATTAGTATGACATGTGAACCAGTCGCCTGGTGAGAGCTGGTTCTTTCAGGAAGCGTTGCAACGTGTTTGTGCTGCTTTCTTGGCTTGCTGGAAAGCGTTTGCCGCGAGCTATCCAAATGAGTTTGTGAAGAAGGAAGAGGATAACATTCGGAAAGCGTTGCTTGGCCACGATGTGATGGTGGATTCCAGTGTAACAGTCGTCTTAACAAGTGTTTTGCCGGACCCCAGGTTTATGCTGCGTCATGCAGACAATGATTTGTTCAACCTACTCTCCGAGAGTGTTCCGCCCATTGATTTGAAGAAGATTGGCATCTTCAGAGGTCCCTGCAGCAAATTTGAGAAGGAGGTCGGAGCAGCACTTTCCAACAACTTTTCACTAGTTGTATTATGCGCTGCAGTATTCGTGTTTCGACTTTCCGAAAAGGCTGCGGAGAGCAAAGCTGCTGCTGCAGAGAAGTGCTCAGGTTGCAATTGACTCTTTAATTGCGGTGCTCATTTGCAATTCAATTTTGTTCTTTGCAGTTTGCAATTGATGGATTCGTTGAACTCAGCATTCGTCTGCGAACCACTGACTTGATCTCTTGTTTGTGATTGCGCACTGGCTCCCGTCCTGAAGGATCGCAGCGGACGTGGCAAATGCAACAATGCACCAGACGGAGCACACTGTCACGCAGGACTTGGCTGAGATGGAAACGTACCTGGCCCGAGCTCAGGACCATGCAAACAGACAGGAGCCATGCTTGCGAGTTGTTTTTCATTGATCTTTCCATTATGCTCATGGTGGTGTGTTCTGCCACATGCAGTCTTTGCTTGGCAGCTTGTCTGCAGGGAAATCTAGATCTCCTCTACTTGAGCACCCGATATGAGAAAGGCCTGAAATGGACAGAGAAATTTGTAACTGGTCACCAACGCTACGAAGCTAGCACCACGTTGGCTGATGCTCATGCACCCCTTCTCCGCTTCCAATCTGAGATGTCAGATGGAGGAGACGCGTGCAACCCCTAGTGGCAGTCATTGCAAAAGCATGCGCGTATATGCGGGTGAAAACGTTTCATTCCAATGCTAGATCACATTTAAAAATCGAGACAGCCTTGGAGTCATTTTTACACGATGTGGCAAGGTTCACGCTTTTGCTCATGGACTGCTCAGTCTTCCCGCCAAGTGGCTTGAATCATCAGTCAGTGTTGGCTGCAACAGTCTGTGTTTGAATTGAACTTATCATATAATATTGCTCGATTTCTTTGAGATCTCAGGAAGTCTGGACATGGAAGAGGCCTGCGAAGCTGCCAGATCAATCACGACAGCCAATCCGAACACCTGTCTTTTTGCGCTCTTTCCCATTCACCACTCGTCGGTGGAGAAGGCGTCGACCATCAAGAACCGGCGATTGTTAGAAGATCGTTTGATGCAGTTACTAAGTTATGAAGTTCAGGTGATTTTCAAAAAAACAATGGACTATAATTCAATGATACAGTCATATGACAACTCATGGCCAAGGTTCGCGGACATCCATGAGGTGACAGTGAACTTCAAAGAGGCCTCACATGGGAATGATCGTCGAAAAAGGAGCCATCAATGTCCCCAGGCTCAATGTTTCAGCATCTACTATTATCCTGGAGTTTTTGCTTAGTGGATATGAACATTTGATTGCTTGGGATGCGGAGTTTCAGCAAGAAGACAGATGTTGAATGTTGGTAACTGATTCTGTTCAGATTGAGGTGTGATAGCGCTTTCATCCGTGCACAAGAACTTGCCTTTTTCCAAGTCGAAAGCCTTGCAGCAGGGCATTGTGGGCCCTGTTGACAGGGCCAGGGTAGTGGATCTTTGGTCGTTTGACGACGACAAGCCAGCCTCTCCATCACAAAGGGTTCCTGTCCTGCACAGTTTCTTCCTTCAGACCCGTCAGAGCAGAGGTAGCCTTCACAAGTTTGATCAAGTGTAGAAGTCCATGTGTTGACACCTTTTAAGGCTCAGCAGCGTGGTGTAGACGGGACCGTCCAGATCTTGAAAGCACTTACAGATGGTCTTGACCTGGAGAGCAAGCGGTTGTATGTGCTGGATTTGCTGCCAAACAAGCATCTCAGCAAAAAACAACTTTATTTCACCACTGTTTTTGTAGCAGCTTTGCAACGCAACATAACAATAATGTTGTTTATATAATGTTTGTACAATTGGCTGACAGGTTAAATGAGTCGGGCCGGGCAGTATTGTCTTTGCAGCTCACGCATTTAGATGCGCCCCGCGGGATTGACTGGCGCTTTTTGTCGTTGATCGGGGAACAGAGTGACGCTGCTGATTTCGGTACCCTGCGAACCTTCATCAACACGCGTGTGATGCAAGATTTTTGGCTGCAGCTTCAATTACTTTCACAACCAATGTTTTTCACACTGCAGCTGTGGCCCAGTGTTTCTGCATGATTGCGTGTCGTGCTTAAGGACTATTGGGACACTTGCAGTGACGCAGGACCTCAGAAACGAGATGCATCGCCGTTCGATGAGCCGTTGCCCACACTGAAGCTTTTGGCTAAGGATGCCGATTCTTTAAAGTGTTCCGGTCGCAGTATTCAAAATTCTTTAGTTGCGTTCCAATGCCAGAATGCAAGAATGACTGTTTGATTCGATGGAACGGCCTCATGTTACGGCTGCTGCTTGTGCCAGTGCTGCGCGGTCGATGCTGTCAGGTTGAGCTTGCCAGGGCCTGTGAAGGACTCGCTAGGTGGCAAGGCCATGGCATTCCAGAAGAAGTTGCAAGCCTGGAACGCGAAGACAAACTTGAATGTGGGATCCAGCACTGTGACAGTCACTCATGCAGCGTCAACCTCGCGAACTGATCCAGGACGGGAGCCTAATCCCACCCGAACATTGTGTCGTCCAGTGTTTGGAGAAACTGACAAACCGTTGGATGTCATGCGGAGCGTGGAACCGTTCTCCCTTTCACAAGCAGAGTTTGAAACGCAGAAAGTGTCGCTTGGCTTGTTGAACAGCTGTGATTGTCCCAAGTGTATTAGGATCCCAGCCTAGCCTTTTGCATTTTGTAGTTTGCCTAGGGCAAAAGCGACTTGCCATCCTACATTGCACTCCGATCTGAAGCTTATTTTGACTGACGGTGGCGAACTGTGGCTGCTAAATAGTTCCAGCACAGCATGTGATGTGGGCCCTGGGGAGTTGTGTGGCTTCAACTTGGGTAGCAATTCTCAGAAGACGGCAGGCTGGGGACTGGTTCTTCGAAGTATCATGGTATGTTGATGTCGCTTTTGTTAAATTGTTCAGGCCTCCTCACTGGACGAGAGCTGCTGATCCCATACCAGTTCACCAATGACACGGACTTGGTGGTTCTGGTTCAGCAGGGCGCCAAGACTGCGACCTGCATCGCTGAACTTGCGTGTGAAGCAGCCCAGAAACATGGTGTCACTGAGCTCTCTCTTGACGACCACACCCTCCAGAAAAAAATGGAGGCACGCTAGAAGAGGGCACTGACATTTTTTCTCGGTATTTCCTTTTCAGCTTTATTAAGTGACTTGTGAATTCATTCCTATTGTGCCAGGATCAGAAGCCTGTCCCCTTTCGTTACGCAGTCACGCCTCACACCAAATTGAACTGTTTTGAGCCGAAGCAATTGCCATCCGATTCGAATTGGGCGGACTTGCGAGCTTCCATGTTTGGCGCAGCATATCGTGACTTTGGGTTTGCTAGAGTGCCAAAATCTATGACCTGCCAGACACTGTGGGAGGTTGCCTGACATTAACTCGATGTTTTGCTAATTGTACTAGGTTGGTGTTTGTCGATGCATTTCAAAACAGCCAACGCTATCAGTTGTCGTCCCATGTCATGTCAGGTTCGCCTTGATCATAAGATGGTGCAGGGCCTCAAGCCGAAACTTTGGTTGACTTGCAATGTGAATGTGCCTGTCAACACAGCACTGCAGCTGAAGTGAGCTTCGCGAAACGGCTCTTCAATTTCAAGTTGTCAACCCGCCTCATCGTCAAGCAGACTTATATGCTAAGTATCATCATGCGTATCGTGATGATGTGGTAGATAACAATAGTTCAGAAACAACTTGTGAGATTCTGTTTGATCTGGAGAGATTGGGTTGAAATGGGTTGAACGTCGCAAGGTAGGGCTAGTAGGCTTAGGGTGCATCGACTCTTCCTTGGCCTGGCTGATTCAGTTGCTATGAAGCTCACTTAGTATTAGAACGAATCACCCTCAGTTCAAAATCGACAGTTGACAGTCCATCAAGGAGTTCTGGTGGCATCTTTTGATGTCAATGTCTGACGTGTGAACGCTGCTCGCCTCGTCGTCTCAGCGCATGAAGGGTTCAAAAGTTGGCTGCGATGTCCAACTTTAACTTTGCCACAAATTTTTGATCTGTCGTCGCTACCCAATAAAGATGGAGAGTTGTTGTCGCTGTAACAGCTCACATTAAAACCAATGCGCGCTTGGGGTGACATGTCATTCATTAGTCGGTGGCTCAAATTAGGAGTCAGAGGCCGATTCAACCTGACAGGTTGCAAATGCCTTTTATTAATGTTGACGCGCTGTCAGATGACGATGAGGGGGCCAATTTGAAGAAGGGCCAGGTGTCACCGTCTGGCAAGAGAATACCTGAGAAGACACCTGAGACCGTGGCCGTGGCAGCTGCTGCTGCTGTGAAGAGTAAGGCCAAGCCGAAGAAAGCTGCGTCGAAGGCCAAGGCCAAGTCAGCGGCAAAAACAAAGGCAACACCACCTTCAGATGCCGAGCCAGTGAAAGAGAAGCTAGTGGCCAAAAGGCCTGCTGCTAAGGTGGACGCCCCATCGGAATCTGGCAAGCAATCTATTGTCAAAAAACGACCGGCCAGTGCTGATAAGACTGTTGTCAAGGCGTATAAGTATCTCTACCACAAGGAGAACAAGTGGGGCATCAAGTTGAACAAGAAAGAAATGATGACGGTCTGGGTCTCGAAACGGGACCAATTTTTAGTGACTCTGAAACTATGTTCCAATATGAAGGGGTGCAGTAAACCAGAATAAACGTTTGACACATTTTTTTAGG